ATTTTAAAAAATTATGTTATTATGTACCATATTCTAAGTAATAAAATCCATAATGAAATACATTAAAAGAAATAATCTTGCATACCTTCAAAAAACAACAACAAAAAAAAAAACAAAGAGAGAATCTATATTGAGTGGGCAACCAGCTATCTCTGTGACACTCCGTTTTCTTGTTACTATCATTACTTTGGGGTTTGGGGTCATAACACCACTATAACACTACTGGCAGAGCTTCTAAATTACAAAGGAGGCAGCTTTTGTGCAATGCATGGATTTGAGTTCAAAATCCAGCTTTGATACTTCTTAAGCAAGTGGCCATGGTTCAAACAAATTATCTTAATGGAATCAAATAGCAAGCTCAGGTCTCTAAACTTGAAACCCAGGGCCTGAAAATGAGCGCTGCTGTTGCTTAAAATGGCCCAAGGAGAGCCCCCTGAGCTATGGCAGAACCATTCTGGCCATTTGAGTTTGAACCCAGATGGTCTGGCTCCAAAGTCCACATTGCTATCTGCTAGGTTTGGTATAAATGAGCACCAGGCCTTGCTGTGACTGAAGTCATCAATAAGTCATCAACAGAAAAAAAAGGCCACATTCTTGCAAGAGGGCTAGGCTTTGAGGTTTTATTTGCCAAACTACTTGCTCCTGAAAAGCTACAAATGACCCCAAATTTCCTGCATTGGGTTTTAATATGATGTCCTATGGGTTGAGCTAAAACTACATTAGGTAGAAAGTGCTTTATAAGTCCAAGGTGATGACCAGACAAAGCCAGGCACCTGGTACCCAGATCCTTTTCTCTGTCCCCACCAGTGATGGCCCACCTGCTCAGCCCATGTGGTCCTGTCTTTACTCTACCCACATACATGACTGGGTCTCCATGGTCTCTGGAACAAAGTGAAAGAACAAGCCCTTCAAATGAAGAAGGTGAGTCCTGTGACAGTTCACTTTACTTGCACATTAGCATCTTCATCTCTAAAGTGAAAAGGTTGGACTTGATTTAAAAACAGACAGGTAGGCTAGGCACAGTGTGCCTGTGATGCAGCAGCTCTGGAGGCTGAGGCAGAAGGATAGTGAGTTCAAAGCCAGTCTCAGCAATTTAGCAAGGCCCTAAGCAATTTAGCGAGACCTTGTCTCTAAATAAAATGTAAAAAGGTCTGGGAATGTAGCTTGGTGGTTAAGTATCCCTGGGATTAAGTCCTGGTACCAAAAACAAAGCAACAACAGCAACAAAAACAAACCCAAGCAGCTAACACTATTGAACTCCCACTGTGTGCTGAGACCCTTGCCAGGTGCTGGGGTTAGGTGATGAAAGAGATGTTTCTCTGTCTTCAGGGGCTGCCTATCTAGGAGTGCTCGTGGGGAGTGAGGTAGTGGGGAAGGGCCCTTTCCTCATGTGGATGTTTTGTGAGAGCAGGCAAATCCTAGCAGAGCAGGAGGACCTGATGGGGGAAAAGAACTATTGTCCTGCTTACCTGCCATGGAAGTGATGCCAATACAGGCTAGTGGTGACTTGTGTCACCCTTCAGGTCACAGCAGGGTTTGCTGTTCATTTATACCTAATCTAGTGGGCAGAAACTTGGGCTCTGGAGCCAGATCATCTGGATTCAAACTCGCTGTAGTCACTAACTATGTGCCCTTGGACAAAGTGTATTTAACCTCTTTATCCATGAGTATATTATTTGAACCTTTCTCATAGGATTGAAGATATAAGAAATAGGGATTTCCTCCCCTGTTCCTTAGATGACATGTGTCCACATCTCTACCTCCTCCTGTTTGCCATGCTACACAGGACTGCAGGAGAATAGCCCAGTCCAGGTTCTCCATCCCTCCTCAAGCCCATTGCATGGGACCCTTCAGAGGACAGCTGCACCCTCCCCAGGCCCCACATTTTGCAAAGCCAAAGGGAGGTGCAGAACCAGACACAACTTCCCGCCACCTGTCCCCACCCGCTATACAAAGAAGCAGGGGAGATTGCATCAGGGGCTAGTAATGTCTCTCATCCAGGGAGTGTTGGCTTCTGGGTCCTCTTCCCAGACAAATTCTAGAGGTCAGAGCTACTCAGCAGTGAGAGCAGAATGGACTCCTGACCCCGCACCCAAGACTTGGCTCACGCTGGCAGATGACTTCTAACAGTTGGAGCAAATATAGATGTATCCTTTAGGTAAAAGTTGTCCAGATCCTCTTGGTTAGATGCAGGAAGGGTCCCTCCCTTTCTAACATCTGGAGCTGAAAGAGAAGACCATACAATTGAACATTGGGGAGTGGTTTCAAATGCACCTCAGCGGAAATAACTCCACTAAGAATGGCAGGATGACCAAGTCCAGAGGCCTGTAAAGAGTGAGGGAGGCTCTAGCCAGAGGGAGAGACTGAAAGGTCAGTGTCCAAGCCCTGGTATTGTCTAAGCTGGGATACCTTCACTGTGCACATGAGGAAACAGGGCTTTTGGTGTTACCCCTTGCCCAAGGCTCCATTGTGGTTAGTGGGGGGCTAATATAAGACTCTCGTGCTCTGGTGTGTGAGTCCAGATCTCCAACCCTATGGCTCTAAGCCGTCTTCCTCACTAACCCTCCTTCTTTCAATCATCTAGCAGTCTGGTGCCCTCTGCTCCAGCCTGCACTTGTGGATGTTACTGTGACATCAGTGGCCTGATAGCATTCTTCCAGAGTTTTATGGCAATGCTCATTACTGGCAATCTTCCTCAAGGCTCTCCTTCCTGGGCTTCTGGGACATTTGACTCCACCTGTCAACCTACTTTTCCTTTGCAGCCTTTTGGGTCTTTGGTTCCTAAGCATGTTCCTTCCCCATGGCTCTGTCTATGAGGCCAGGCTATAGCTATTTATTCCTTTCCCCCATCCACTCATGCAGATTCAACTCCAAGGATAACCTCTCTGGCCAGGTCCTAAGCCCCCATCTCTATTTTCTGAGGTAACAGATTTTCCACAGGACATGCACACCCAACTCAACCTTTTGAAACTGAAGCTCTCCATTTTGGTTACCCCATGGCTTCCATTCTGATTGGCCTACCTTGACACTTATATTATCCTCCTCCAGACTTAGGGTTCCCGCATTTTCAGTGTCTGAAAAGTCCTTTCTATCCCTTGATTTCAAATAAGGATTTCCTGGTTATAGCCCTTCCAATCACTCATTCCATAAATATTTTCCAAGCATATTCTCCAACAAGGATTGGTGACAGGTACTGGAGGATCCATGGTGGAAAGATGAGTTGAATCCTGCCTGTGAGAAGCTTCTAGTCAAATGAAGGAAATAAAAATTCAAATAGATAATCGTGCAAAAATATCCATATAATTTCTACTAAAGAATAGTGTAGAACTAAAATAGTATAGGGTGACTGTGGCAATGTCTTATGAGGGCTTGAGGCCAGGGACATCCTAAACATGGGATATGGAATAAACACATCTCTGCTTTAGGAATTCCAGGTCTCTGGGTAGGCAGAGTACCCAAAGATGTCCACATCCTAATCCCTAGAATCTGTGAATATGCTATATTGCATAGCAAGGAGGAGTTAAAATTATAAATAACACAGAGGTTGCTATTAGCTGACCTCAAAATAGGGAGAATTTTCTGGCTAGTTTAATCTACTACTGGGCCCTTAAAAGTGGAAGAAGGAGATAGACGAGAGCCAGAGAAAGAGATATGATAACAGAAGCAGGGTTGGAGATGTTTCATTGTTGGCTTTGAAGATGGAGGAAGGGAGCCATGACCAAAGAAATGTGGGTATCTTTCTGAAGTTGCATATGCAGGGCTGGGGATATAGGGTAGTGGTAGAGCACTTGCCTAGTATATGTGAGATCCTGGATTCAATCCCCAGTGCAAGTACACACACACACACACACACACAAAGAAAGAAAAAAACAAAAAAAAACAAAGGAGATGGATCTCTTCTACTTGGAGAAGGAGGAGTTTAACCCTGCCAGCTCCTTGATTTTAATTCATTGGGACTCCTCTTGCACATAACTGTAAGATAATAAATTTGTGTTGGTTTAAGCTTCTAAATTTGTAGTAATGTGTTTTATGGAAAAAGCAGAAAACTAACATTTAACCTTGCCCTGCTATGTCCATTATTAAATCCATTTCATTTATTTCTACCTAGACTTGAGCCTTAATTTACCCTCATCTCTGCTGTCTGAGTCCATCCTCTGGACCCTGAATTGTTGACTTGGGGTCCATGGTCATGTGCTATTCAGATAGGTTGAAGGAGCAGGCAAAGAGAGGAGGACGCGAAGGAGCAGGTGCCAGCAAAGGATACGCAGGAGCCCTATTCTGGAATCAACCGGTCTGGAATTGACGTTTGGAAGCATTTATTTTCTGTGGAATCCTAAGCAAGGAATTGGGTCGATGACGGCGATAAATGCTACCTGGAAGGGTTTGAGGTTGCAATGCCTACATTACATGCGTAATGCCGCTGAGCGTAGAACAGCATAATAATTGGCAATGATAACTCTCATACATTCATCATAAGAGATTATATTGAACTTTCATGTGCCATCAGGAGACCAGATCCAAGGAATTGCAGAAGAGTCACAGGAGGGTACCCAAGGGCAACGCCAAGTCCCCAGGGCCAGGTGCCCCCGCCTTCTCTTCTTCCCCTTCCTGAGCCCCCCCCCCCCCTTGCTGCAGAGGCAGCGGCTCAGGGACAAGCCCCAGGGGATGAGGAGGTGGCTGGGACACCTCACCTAAGGTCCCTGAGTTCGAACAGCCCTCTCCTCTCCTTTTATTCACTCCAACACCCCCACCTCAAGCTGCTCTTTGGAGGCTGATCAAGAACCAGTCCGGTTTTCATGAGAAGTGGGGCGCAAGTGGGGCGAAGCCCCTGCCTCCTCTCTTCCCCCGCGTACTGGGCCGTGCAGGGAGCTGGCCAGCCTTGGGGTCCGCGTAGGTTCTCACTTCCCCTCCCCAACTGCCTCTGGTGCAGGTGCCACAGCCGAGTCCCTCAGGCGGGGCGGGCCTTGTGGACACGCCCTCGCGGCGAGTCCTCGCGGCCTGTCTGGAGGAAGCGCCAGAGCAGACGCTGGTCCTGCGCGGAGCCGGTTGCCACTCCCGCCCCGCGCCCAAGGGACACCGCTGGGACACATCTCCAAGCACCGGGTACCGAGCACCGGGCACTCTTTAAGCAGGGGATGTGAACTGCCCCCCGCGACATGGCAGCCTCAGGTGGGTCAGTGACAGAGCGCGGGCGCTCCCCGGAGCCTCCCCACTCGCGCGCACCTTGTCCCCCGTGCCGCCCTCTGGCGCCCACCCTCACCCTTCGGGGCGTTCTCCCTCTCTCGCTTCTGTTTGAGGGGATCTTGTGTTGTTTCTGGTTTTCTCTCTGTTCCTAGTTGCAAACTTTCCACCCCAACTTTCCCATGTTCCTATTCCCAGACTGTTGAGCGATTCTCTTCAACTCCTGCCAGACCCTAGCGATGCTGGGCTTTAAGTCTCCTTTTCTTCCTTCAGTTCAGCCTCTTGGAGCTTCTGAGGGTCATTTCCTTCAGTCCCACCAACTCTGTGAACTTAGAGACAAGTGAAAGAAAGGTGGAGGACTGAGTTGTCTACACCGGCAGAAAGCTTCTCTTAGGGTCTCATCCTACCGATAGGGGGCGCTCACACAGTCCTAAGCGATGCTGGGAGATCAGAAGTGGTCCTGGAACCAGCTTCCCAAGCCCCCTTCCTCTCCATCCATCCCAGGTTTTGCGTTTTTTACCCTGGAATTTTGTTAGGAATCTGGGAACACAATTTCTTGAACTACTTTTCCTGCGTCTTTTGCAGAACTTTGGTTATTAGGGGGAGCTGAGTAAATCTTCCCATTAGAAAGAGCCAGAAGTCTTTTTCTGTCTGGTCTGGGGCTCCTTTCTGGTAAGTCACTTACCAGAATTTTCTAGTCACTCACTGAGACCCAGGACAAGCCACATGATAGTGATAATGATCGGAGACAACTCATGAGCTCTTACTACGTACTCCAGTGGATATCATACACCTACTGTGTTCTCACTGGTGACCAGGACAGCCCAATTTCTCTTCTCCATGAGTTTATGGTATGGTGAAAACAAAAAGTAAACAGGGAATTACTAGATGAGACGAGATAGAGTTACCATGTTTGCAAACAAGTCTACATTTATTTTCCCAGCCCGCCTTAGAATGCTTTAGTAGAGACAAGATGTGAAAACAGAATGAAATAAAAAATAAACAAAAAACAGTGGAAGGCACTGTTCTTGGAGGATGTGAGCAGGTGCTAGGATGAAGAGCCAGCTCTCTCCAGATCTGCCAAGGTCTAGCCTCGTCATGGTGCTTTGGAAGCAGGGATAGGGTAGGAAAGGCCAAGGGTGAAAGTTCTGTTAGCTTTGGTGATACAGGCTTATTATTTTAGGGGGTGGGAAGATGGCTCCTTGGCTGGGCTCTGGAGGTTAGAAGAAGATGTATTTCGAGTAAGGAGCCTGTGATAATAATAGACCGGTGGTCCAGGCGTGCCATTTGAAAGCTAAAGCAGAGTTCTAGAGAGGGAGTTCATTCATTGGAATGCTTACTGTTTTCTGGCAGTATTCTAGGAGTCAGGTGTCCATTGAGGAAACAAAGAAGACAAAAGCCATGCTCCCCAGGGAGCTTACTGAGCAGGGAAGGCAAATACTTGGTATGATCTGTACTATGGGAAAACAGGAGAGAGGGGTAAGGAGGATGGGTTAGAATTTTAAATGGAGACACCAGGTTAGACCTCATGGAGAAAGGGAAATTGAAGCCCACACATGGAAAAAGAAAGGGAGGGTACCCTGTGAGGGAGAATGGACCAGGCAAGTGTTTAAGAAATAGGGAGAGGACCAGAGTGGCTGGGACAGGTGGGTGATATGGGAGGAGACAAGCCACTGAGGCACCTGCCTCCTTTCATGGCTGGAAACAGGTCCTGGGCTGCTGTGTACAGGAAACAGCAACTCAGGAGAGGCTTTCAACACAGGAGACCCAGCAAACTGCTCTCTCTCATCAGTGTCGTGTGTGTGTGTGTGTGTGTGTGTGTGTGTGTGTCTCCAGTGGGCATAGCTAAAGGGTTTGAAAGGGGGGTGTTCCAGTTCAGATGGGGAGCCCAGAGGTCAGAGACCTCTGTAATGGTTAGAGCTGTCAGACCCTCTTGCTGTCAGCACCCTCTGTGGTAAGACCGAGCCAGGTGCTGCAATGGGAGTTGGCCCCCTGGAGTCCCTGGGGGAACTTGAGGTCTGTAGGACAAGGACTCATGGGAGCAGGTCATAGTGGGAAAGCCATGCCTCTTGCCAGGATGCTGTAGGCTCAGGAGTCATCCAGGCCACCTTTCCATATGGTTACCTTACTTTAAAAACAGCTTTATTGGGAAATTTTCACATGCCATACAGTTCACCCATTTAAAATGTACACTTTGGTGGTTTTAAGTGTCTTCACAGCGGTGTGAAGCCACCATCACATAAGATGATCAATTTTAGTCAAGTGTAGAGAATTCTCATCACCTCAAAAAGAAACTCTGTACTCTAGTTTTTTTCCTCCCACCCATTCTCCCCTCCTCTCCAGGCCCGAAGGTCTTTGTCTCTGTGTATTTCCCTGCTTCTGGCTTTTACATGCATGAGATCACATGGTGTGTGGTCTTTGGTGATGGGCTTCCTTCACCAGCATCATGTTTTCACCCGACCGTAGTTTGGGTCATACCTCATTCCTTTCTGTTGTCTAATCCTCTGGTCTTCTTAAATTCCCTTCCTCTGAAGGGTAAGCACTGGTCTTTTATTTCCTGAAAGACGTGTTTGTTTGTTGAAATTCTGGAGAATCGTGTCTCCTTGTCTCTGAAGGAAGCTTGGGGAACAAGATAAAATGGAATCGGTTTCTAGGTGGCATATTATGTGTTGCCTAGTGAGACAGGAGAGAAGCTGTGACTTTCCAAGTGACAGAACTGTGTCAGGTGAAGACTAGAGCCCTCTCTTCTGTGTGTCAGCCTCTGAATTGTAGGGAAAGCTCTCATCCTTGTCCTGCCTGCTCTCTCCATGGCTTTTCTTATCTCCAGGTCCTCTGTCACACCTGGGCTTACAGCACCATTAGACAAGAAGGGACTTTTTATTATTATTTTTTTCTTTTTTTGTCATCTTACCTCCATTTGACCTTTGAGGTCTTTCCATACTTTTGCCAAGTTTCTAAATTGAAATGCTTTCAGAGATAGGAAGCTCCTTGTGTGGTTCATTTCCAGATCTCTCTCTCTCTCATGCTCACCTTCCTGATTTATGGTGCTCATATTCAAACATGAGAATCCAGGCCAGAGGGACAGGGTGCCAGTCATCTGAGAGCTAAAGAAATGATCTGGACGGGGTGGTCTGAGAAGCTTCCCGGCACTTCCTCCCTGGGGTTTTCTCCAAGGGATTCTGAATCATTTCAGATTCTTTCAGTCATGTATTTCTTCCCATCATTGGGACTCCCTGTTGCCCCTTTCTTCACCACTCTCCATTTCCCTCTATAGCCAACCCTGCTCTTTAGGCTTTACAAGAACAGAGAGCTTTTCTTGATTCTGTCCTGTGTTTGTAGACTCCTTTTTTTTTAAATTTTAAATTTTTTTATTTTTAGTTGTAGTTGAACATGATACCTTTATTTTATTTATTTATATGTGGTGCTGAGGATGGAACCCAGTGCCTCACACATGCTAGGCCAGCGCTCTACCAGTGAGCTACAATCCCAGCCCCTCCTTGCTGGTTCTTAGTTTCTCTGATAAATCAAAAAATGAGAGAAAAAAAATTTCAAAACATGGGGGGAAATGACTTACGATTTAAAGGAAGGGAATTATAATTGAAAAAAGCTGTGTGTCCCCTACACAAGGCAGAACTGCTGACCAAGCATTCAATCCTGTGTTGTTACCTAGTGTATCAGGGAGGAACTTGAACTTCCACTTTGGACTTTTGTATAACTTCCCCAGCTTTCAGTTTCGGTAGCACAGCAGAATCCAGGAAGATGGTAGATTTCATTGTCCTCGTTGACACTGAGGGAAAATTTGTCCAGATTTAGCGTATTGGTCTAAGTCACCCTACAAGCGTCTAAATAGGTTGTGATATAAACTAGTCTGAGGCAATAACCACTTCCTTCTCAAATACATTTGTTTTCCGCATTACTGGAGTTTGAACCCAGGGGTGCTCTACCACTGAGCCACACTCCCAGCCCTTTCTATTTTTTATTTTGAGACAAGGTCTCACTAAGTTGCCCAGGCTGGCCTGGAACTCATGATCCACCTGCCTCAGCTGCCGAGTTGCCAGAATTACAGATGTGCACCACTTCACCCAGCTCTTCTCAAATACTCATACCCAATGGGGGATGGAATTTAATACTGGTACTCCAGGAATGAGCCTTTGTAAATAGCAGTTCACCATAGAGAAGAGGCTGACCTCTGAAGTGTTTTTTTTTTTTAATTTCAATTGTATTTCTAATAAACTTTTATTTTAGAACAGTTTTATATTTCCAGAAAAACTTCAAAGATAGGACAGAGAGTTCCCATATATAGTAAACACAGTTTCTCTGAATATATTAGCATCTTCTATTAGTGTGGTACATTTGCTACAATTAATGAACCAGGATTGATAACTTATTTTTAACTAGTCTGTGCTTGGTTCAGATTTCCTCAGCTTTTAGACAATGCCCTTTTGGTGTTCCAGGATCCCACCCCAGATACGAAGTTACATTTAGTAGTGATGTTTCCTTATACTCTTCCTGTCTGGAATTTTCCCTGTTTTTGATGGCCTTAACAATTTTGAGGAATGATTTTGTGGAATGTCTCTCAGTTGGCCTTTGTCTGATATTTTTCTTATAATTAGACTTAGATGATGGTTTGGGTGGAGGAAGAGCACAGAGTTAAAGTGCCCTTTTTATCGAATCCTATCAAGGCTTACAGAGCATGGTTTATGGTTGTTGATATTGACCTTGATCACTGAACTGAGGCAGTGTTTGCCAGATTTCTCTACTGTGAAGCTACTTTTTCTCTTTTCCTTTCCGTACTGTGCTCATTGGAAAGAGTTCACTATGCACAGCCTACACTTAAACATTATGCTCTTCTTGCCTGAAGGTGGAGTTATCTACATAAATTATTTGGAGTTCTTCTGCATGGGAGATTTGTCTCATTTCCCCAATTTATTTAATAACTCATGGATATTTATTTTATACTTTGCATTATAATTCAATATTATTTATTT